AGCATCTCTGCCATTGTCATGGAACTGCTCTTGCCACTGGAATCAGTGGAAGAAACAAGGCCTGATTGGGCTAAAAAGTCTTGAACTCCTTTCTCTCCCCTAGAAGTGATGTCTGCAGTGGTATTAGAAGAATGAAGAAGAGAAAAGTTGCTTTGCCTCTGACAGTATTGCCTCCATAAAAAAAATCTCATGTTGCTGTTGTGGCACTTCACATTTTATAACCGTATGTTTTCACTTCTCTATTACTTACTGTCTCCAAATTTTCAGTATAGATAGGTCATGTAAAATTGTTCTCATTATTTAAGAAAAAAAAGTAACTTAGGTATAGCATTGATTTTCAATTTACAGTTTTGGTTGGATGAACTGCAAACATCACTTTAAGCGGTTATTAAGGAATTTTGTTTTGTTTTGTTTTGTTTTGTTTTTCCATGGCATATCTCCCACACATTGTGTTAATTCCATTGTATATGTTGTGTTTCTCATAAATACACAGGATTCGGACTTTAGTTTGGAAACTCCACTGACTTTTTCAGTTTCATAGTGTACGGCTGGTCTTTTTCAAGCTGATTTTGGTAAAAGAATCTCACATTTTGTGAGGGGACAAAAACTGGCATGTTTACCTTAATGTTTTTTACTTGTACTGTTTACCTTAATGTTTTTTACTTGTACTACAATGTCTGGGGACAATTTGTGGAGATAAACTGTGATGATTCATCAGTTAATACCTGTCAAATACAGGTAGTCACAAGAATTCTTCAGTATACACATATATAGACTCCCTTCTTGTTCTTCAGTAGTCTAAGCATCTGAATCCTATTAACAGCTGTCAAAACCTGGTAAACTATTTATATGCTTTCACAATTTGTTTAATTGGATAGTTAGGAAATGGCATACAAGAAAAGCTTTTCTTTTTTTTTTTCTTTCTTTTTTTCCTTTAGTCTGGCTGAACATCTGTAGCATTAGGGGCTCATTATCTCTGAATTGGCATAGCAAATCAGCAGCATCATTAAAATGCCACATTAAGATGATTAAGTTTCTTTGTTATCCAGTTGACTTTTTGCATGTGCTGAGGATTTCATGATTATGACCCCACTCCTTGTAAAACACTTGAGCAACATCACCCTTTTGTGCTGTAGTCTTTAATGGCTTCTGGTTTTTATTCTTTGTGCTTTCCATAATATTACCAGCAAACTTTGCTTAACAACAGCACAAAACTTGCATTCTTTTCTTTATATCTGATGCCAAGGTCTTGGAGTAAATATAGCAACTAGGGGTTTTTCCTTCTGAAATTTCCTCTCAGAGAGAATAGCTAAGATAACACTCCAGCTTGTCTTAATTGTTTGCTGTTACTGACTTCTTTTTTTATTCTTGTATTTTATAGAACACATACATGCACCGTTAGTGTGGTGACTCAGTCTGAAGTTGCCACCACAGCTTTATTTTGGATCTTTTCCAGAACCCATTGTTTTTACAGTGTTTCAGGTGAAACAAAAATATTACTCTGGAGTATGTCTTTCATCTTAGAATCATCTCCTCAGGAAATGAAACCATGTGCATCAGCCTTAATGCATCAAGCTAGTACTTTGTTGTGTAAAATCTACAAAATTTTTTCTGCAATGTATATTACCTTCATGAACTGCCTCAAGAGAACTAGTTACCTGTGTTGGACACATGAATGATTTTTCCTCTTTTAACTTCTTTACTTTCCTAAGCACAGGAGAGATGATAACACTTCTCTTTTCAACCCAGGGAACCTTGCTAGTATTGTTAGGGATAATTGTGGTGTTCTTCACTTAGATTTCCCTTTTCTACTTGATGTGACAGCAACTTTTCCCTCGGTTAAGGAGGACCAGCATGGAAACTCACTAATCTCATCAGAATATGTTGATGTGCTTTTAAAAAAATAGAGACAAACTTTTCCCTTTTCCACACGTCTGCCATTCTCTTGATCTCAAAGTGTTCCCTGTGCCTACCAGTATACAGAGCAAAAGTCCGGGACTAAAAATGGAATTTGGTTGCTTCAGACCTTTGCACTTGGTTAATTACAGACTGACTGTACTGAGCCGTCTTTTCCTTGGACTACTTTGTACCAGAGCTTTCTTCTGTGTCATTGTCTTCTCTCAACCTGTCAGAAAGGCCCGGTAGAATCACTGGGCTCTGAACTATAACCAGTGTGCTGGGTTAGAAGAATTCCAACATTTCTACTCTAGCATTTACTCAGTGAAAAAGCCTGTTCCCTAATGGCTTCTGCTGTCTGTTGTTTTCAGTCATCAGAAGCTGAACTTTTCCGTTGAGGTTCTTTAAACGCCTACATGCAAACTGAAAAGCAATTGAGCTTTGGTGGGATATCACCGACAGCTGGAGTGGCAGTGATAGTGGTGGGGGGGAGGCAGTGGTGGAAAAGCCTTGATCAGAACTCAGGTGCATCCTTCTCATTTACTATAAGAAAACAAAAACATTGCCAGCAGTCAGAATACAATATGGAAAATGCAAAGGTAGTTATTTTCCACAGCGGAACCGTAGGATGGCTTGCCCAGTTTATGCCAGTCAGCAAGTGCTTGCCAGGTGGAAATCAAGATGACATTCATACCGTGCTACATGAACACTGACATAACTCTGTAAAAGAGTGAAAAGTTGTGAACCATGAACTTGTGGTGAGAAACAGTAGAAAACGGTAGAGAAGTCCTCTCAATTGGAGGTTACAACTAGTCCTCCACTGTTAAGCAATTGCGCTTAATACAGATGAAAGGTGAGACGTTAAATAGAAAGTGGGAATTGAAATCACTTCTGAAAGTACCAACAAGGTGCAGCTGCAATGTGTACTTCCTTTTACCATTCTGTGCAGGATGTGACAAATTATTTTGGAACTGCCTCCTTTTTAGAAAAAAAAGTACATTATTTTGGAAAAGAGATTTTGTTGAAAGATTCTTTCAGTAACTGGCAATAAATTCTCCTTAAAATGATGGAAGTGGATGCTTAGATTAGCTTTAGAAAGAGTTTTGAGAGCAGGATCACCTTAGGGTGATCCTTGAGACACGAAGTTGGCAGCGGAAGCTGCGTACAGAGGAAACCCTATTTCAGTGGAAATAGGAGTCAGGATGTGAAGCAAGGCTAGTAGTGAAGCAGGTACAGAGAAAAATGGGTCATTTATAGGTGAATCAAGGCCTCCATGTGACTCTTTGAGCAAACATCAAAGCCTACGCAAGTCCTTCTGGGATCTGGACAGCCAACCCTAATGTCGAACTCTAAAAAATGCCTAGGATAGGGGGATAAAAACACACACAATATGGAGAAAAAAATCAACCTTCTTTGGACAACATCATCCAGGGAAAATACTAAAAGAAATCTCTTGGAGTTTTCCACACTACCATGGATTCTTCCTTAGGATGAAGCAATTATCAGCCAGCTGTTTCTTCTACCCCACTTTAGCCCAAGGTAAGACAGATTGGCTGGACTTGGTGCAAACCCTGAGGAAAAAGGAGTGATTTTTTTATCCCCAAGCTATAGCTGAAAATTTTGTTTTCATGAAAGTGTTGGTTGCCAGATTTTTATTTTTCAGTGCTGCTTTTATGTTGCCACCTCATTTTCGCTATCACCCATTGTTTGTTCTCTGCATTTGATGTGGTTTATTACTCAGAACCAGAGCTAATACATATTCAGTAGTCCATGTTCTGTACTTTGGAGAAAGGACAAGTGATTAAGTGACATATTTAACTGTCTAACCCTCATTTTGAGAGAAGAACAGGTGGCCATGAGAACAATACTTTCAAACAGGAAACTATATTTTATCTCTTAGTACTTTTCTTCACTTGGTAGTTTGAGGCATAACTCAAGTTTCAGGCATAACGCAGCTCCTGTCTACACAGAAAAATCAGCTTTAAGCTGAAAATACCTGTCCTGTCGATTGGTAAGGTTTTAACACAAGTGCTAGCAATGGTAGAGTTAATAGTGGAAAGGAAATTCAGCCATGTAAGTCAGGAATCATCAGCTGTTTATATAGTGTGACCAATTTGCTTATATTTTTACATGGGAGCATTATTGTTAGTAAATTATTAGCTACTTGCTCCATTCCCATCTTGTTGTGAAATTTCATTAATCCAAGAGAACGTCTTTGATTTCTGATTTTCTCTGGAGGCTGCTACAGTTCCGGGAACCTACTCAAAGGTATTTACTAGAAGGAGATCCAGCAGGCCCTGCATGCTGCTCTTCGGGTCGCTTGGAGTTCTTTGCCACATACTTGCAATGTGACTTTGGATAAATCTTTTAACGTTTCTGGGACAAATTTATCTATAAGACATCTTTACCCTGCCTTTGCCTCATTTTATTCACATAGTAATCTTACAGTATGGGTATCAATACTGGATGCTCCTCAAACATTTGACATCTTTGGATAGAAATTAAAAATTGAAAGTGAAAATTAGATTATTGGTTAGGATTACTGATGACAAGCAAGGTAAAAGGGGCTCTCTTTACTATGCAATACCATGGGAACACTGGAAGTCTTATACTAGGACAGACATTTTTATATACATGCTTCAAGCCCCACAGGTTTCACATGAACGCATAGGTATCCTTTAATTTATGGCGTACTGTATTTTGAATTCACAGCAACGTTCCATGACGCTATTCTCTATAGGCTAATTGTGAATTGTGGGAATAAGTGTTTTCTTTTGAATCCTGAACAGTACCCTGCAATTGCAGTGGTAGAACTATGTACTGTATTATACTTTTGTAATCTGTAGAAAGAAATTATGCATCAAAATTATTCAACAGGCAGATCAATATGTTTAAAGATTATCTTATTGCGAGAATTATCAAATAGACATGACCCAGGAAGATTCATGTCTCAACTGCATTTCTTTATCTCTGTGAGCTTAAATAAAACTTGTAGGGTTATTTTTAATATCATATTGTGTAATTTGCTGTGATTTTTTTCTAAGATACTTCATGGTGTCTAAGATTAGCTTTTTTCACTTTTGTGCTTTATGTTTTACCTGCAGATGATGTGGTTAAAGTGAAAGGTGAATACAGTGAAAGAGAGGAGAGTGCTTTAAATTCAGAGCCTATGGAAAATGCAGAAGAATCTGAAATACCTTACACCTATCCCAGAGAATATAATGAATATGAAAGCATTAAACTGGAAAGACATTCTGGTTCATATGACAACATCAGGCCAGCTAGTGGAAAAATGAATTGTGATATCTGTGGATTAGCCTGCATTAGCCTCAATGTCTTGATGGTTCATAAGCGTAGCCACACTGGTAAATATCACTATGTTATTCTTGCAAGAAATAAATACTGAAAGGGTGGTTTGTAATATACACTATTTATTTAAAAGAAGGATACCGAAATCAAGATCTCTTCATTCTGTCCCTGACTCCACCTATGATCTTTAAGCAAGTTACTAATTTTTCTGTGCCTCACTTTACTCACCTGCAGAATAATACCTTTTCTCTTACCAAGGTTGAATGTAAGTAAAAGTATTTTTGTGAGGCATTTTAAGAATTTTGGATGAAAGGCACTATGTCACTTAAGTATTTCAGTCACAAAACAAAAGTTAGGTTGTTTTTTGTGCTGCCATTTCCAGTCTGTGTGTTGCATTTCTCTTTGTGCTGTAATTTGGCAAAAAATGCATGAGCATCTTCGGTTTAGACCTTCAGTAAGGTGAGGCTTTCTTTTTCTTTTTTCTTTTTCTTTTTCTTTTTCTTTTTTTTTAATTGCTAGCATTTTGAAATCCACCTCCTGCAGAATGCTTATTTCCATGGAAAATCTGTACGGTGTTTTCCGTAGTTGAACATATATTATGAAAAGCTCTGACACCAGAGCTGCATGTAACTCCCACTGAAGTCAGCGGAAGGGCTGTGTATGTTTCTATAGAAAGAAATTGATCCAGTATCTCATTCTTTCCTTTTCCAAGAAGAAAAGGGTATGAGGATAGTATGATACCCACATAACCATTAAATGTCCTTTTTTGTATGTCATTTTAAGGTGAACGGCCATTCCAGTGTAATCAGTGCGGAGCTTCCTTTACTCAGAAGGGTAACCTCCTCCGCCACATTAAACTACATACAGGGGAAAAACCTTTTAAATGTCATCTTTGCAGTTATGCCTGCCAAAGGAGGGATGCGCTAACAGGTCACTTAAGGACACATTCTGGTAAGTGACTTCAAAGACACTTCATGTGTTTTAGATGTGTGTCACTAGGACACTAGATGTGGAAAATGAAAGGTCAGTCAGCAAAGTCTGATGAGCCAGTCTAGTTCTGAAGAGCTGACAATATCAGTGATCCCTCGTTCTTCCTGTTGTACTGATAGAACTATCTTTGGACTCAGCTCTGCTCTTTGATGTTAATGAGGATAGAGACCATAGGGAAACCTACTGTCAGAGCTGAGTGCTGCGAGAAAAGGCCTAGCCTGGATGCTTGCTTGCACAATGTAACTCTTTGGTGTTGGCTAAGCTAGCAACCTCTGAATTTGTGCAGTAGCTAAGACATGCTTTGCTGGGGCTTTCTTCCATTCTGATCTGAGCCATTAGGATAGCTCTAGGAACATAATCAAGAACAGCGTTGCTCTATTGCCTGTTAATACCTCACTGTTGGGTAGTGCCTTTCATCTGAATATCTTAACATGCTTAACAAATGCTAATTTTTTTCAGGACTGTTAGGGTATTGCATCCATTTTACGGATGGGAGAAATGGAGGCATAGAGCTGAGGTGACTCGAATAACAAACCAGGTGTAAATTGATTCATCACAGTTCCTCCTGGTCTTTAGCAGCCAGTTTGTGCTTACATTTTGATTTGTGTATGTCCCGTTTTATAGAGAGGCTTAGAAAGAAAGAATTTATTCTAAATTATAGATATTATCTCTGCACTGCACTTCACAGAAAAAAAAAATGTTTAACCTCACAAAGAATCAAAGTTAAAAGTGAGATTATATAACATGGATAAATGAAATTCTGATTTGACCAAGACCCAGCACAGCACTGGTAACTAAGAGGCTAAGAGTTAAACATCATGCTTCAAGCACATCAGGTGGTTACTGTCACTGAAGCTTTTAGGAACTGGCTTATTAAAAGCTGTAAAGAAAATCTCTCTAAGCATATCATAAATGAACAATTGCACTAGCAGTAGGGAATATGTTTTTTTTTGCACAGTGTACAATATAAGGATGGCCATATTTGCACTGTACTGATTTGGGAATGATAATGTGCCTGTATGTGTTAGGGAACATTTGTGCACAAAAGAGTAATGAGATAATTTAGGGAGTGTTTTATTCTTTTTATGTAAGGTACTGGGAAAGGCTGTGTGGATATCTTTACTTTAGTTTCAAACAGGTTCGTTTTAACTTACAGTAATTAGGAATATATTTGCTTTATGATAAATGACTTTGGAAATGAAATGAGAGCATTCACAAAAGGTCTGGGTTTGGTTTAACTTGATCATTTTCATGAAATCCTTGAAAAACCCTATATAGACAGACCTCGGTCAGGCAGTTAGGAGAGCTGCAATCCCTGTTTAGCAGTAGTATGGTTAGTCTTCCCTAGGGAAGTTATGCCAGGAAAAGTAGTCAACTAGAGTAGGGCTCTAGGAACCTGAGCTCCTGGGAACAGTGTCTAATTCTAAGTCCTCTTCTTTTGTGGTGCTGAGTTTAGAGAACGAAGAGGGCCTTGCAGGAACCCTACATGTCTGGTGGATTTCACCCTTATGTAACCTAATTTTGTGATAATTACAATGCTCATAAGCTTTATAGAAATTTAAAGTATTCTCCAAGAGCTGAATGTTGTGTTATCAGTAACTATATACTTGAATGCCAGGAAGACATTGTTTTATTAGTCTCTTGTGGTTATTTTATACTGCTCTCTTGTTTTTCTAGTGGAGAAGCCATACAAATGCGAGTTTTGTGGAAGAAGCTACAAGCAAAGAAGCTCATTAGAGGAGCACAAGGAGCGGTGCCGTACATATTTGCAAAATGCTGGCATGTGCGAGACTGGTAAGTTTATCATGTTACAGTGCTTTTTTTTTTGGTACATTACAGTGCTTAAAAAAGGGCATCTGGTAAGCTGTTAATTTATAGCTTGAGAACAATTTTTATTACAGTCATTTTCAGTAACCTAAGGGGCTGCAATGTCTTATGAAGGGGTCTGGTTTAATGCATCCCTCAGGCAGCTAGCTAAGGAATGCTTTTATTTTAATCACTTTTTGATTTCACAGTTACTTTGAATAAAACATATGAAATACCTTGAATGCAGCATTTCTGTAGGTGACACTCACCATAGTAAGTTATTCCTACATTAATTCTATTATGAGGTTTATTTTATTGGATGAATTGATGCGCATAATTGTTAACAGCAGTTGTTCACATATGTCACTCCACTTGATGCTTCCTTTTCTTTAGGATAAGAACTGTTGGTCAGAATCATTTAGCATTTACTGAAGTTTTAGCAGCATGGATCTAGGGCATGGGAATGGAAGTACTGTCCTGAAGATCACTGAGCATCAGAGAGAAAGGTCTTCTTAGGTGTAGGGCTGCTTTTGAAAAAGGATGAAGATAAGATGGATCAAAACACACAGTCTTCATCCTTTTTTTCCTTTCCACAGTCTCAATGCTGGATGTCTGAAAACAATTCAATGGAAAAATAACTGCTATCCTCTTTGAGCCTTTTTCCTTGGAAAATTTCAAATCCTAAAATGAATTTGCTTGATTTAAGTCCCATAATATGCCAGTGAGTCAAGAAAGAATAACTTTTCCTATTCACAGAGTCAGGGAAAGGTTGTGACTTGCCCAAATTATACAGCTAATCCATAACAGAGCTAAGACTACAATTTCAGAATTCAGGTTTCCATTCTTTTGCTATGTAGCCTTAAAAAACCCTATGAAGTGTCAAACTTCCTACTTTTGATTCTGAATTTCAAGTAGAATTTTCTTCTCAAGCAAAAAGTTAAACTGAGATTTCCAAGAAGAAAACATGTAAAATTCATTTTAGAAAGATGGCAATGTTAACCAAAGCCCTTTAATAATAACAAAATTGTATTTAGTCATCTGATTATCAAGCAAAAAATCTTCGGGCATCATCACAAGCCAGGCCTGAAAAACAGTGTGAAGACCCATTGATACAAGCTGATAACTATGCAGGTACAAGAGTTGTTATCCTGTGCCAAGTAGGTTGAGGTATCAGGCTTTATGACACACACACTTACAAAAAATGCAAAAAAGAAACAATGATTTAATGAAGTTGGGTTTTTTAGTTTTTCATGGAGTGTCTTCTTTTCAGCAAGTAATGTTTTTTAGAGCATTAGTAAAAGTCAGTGGTTATCTGAGCATCAGCAAGTTTTGATTTTCATGAGAAGCCATCCATATTGTAACTGTGGTTTTATGTTACAGTATAAACTCCCATGATGGCAATCATTTTGAGATGTCCACCACATGAAAATGGAAAACATGATACCTAATATAGATTTCTGCTTTTAAATGATTCTCATAGTTTATATTCATTTCAGAATAGCAACATTTCACTTATCCAGAATCTGCAATGTAGTACTTACTAAAGTAGTACAGTATGCCTTAAATTGGTCACAAAGGAAATGTAAATTTCCAGTTCAGCATGATGTGGCTGTGCCCTGTGCCTTTAAGACCTTCACACTTCAAAAATATTGCAGTGTTGTTAGTGGAGTAGTAAGTTTTATTAAAAACAGGAACTCCAATCTTGCTGAGGCATTTCCATTCAATTCTCTGGTATCAGCACTATATTACATCACAGAATCATAGAAAAGTAAGGCTGGAAAGGATGTCAAGAGCTCGTTTGATGCATTTGATTTGTTTTTTCCCTCTAAGTATAGCACTTTGCTCTTATTTTTAGTGAACATCATTTTTTTGATTTCTGACCATTTTCCTGCTTACCTATGTCATTTTGAACTTCAGTCCTCTTTTCTGGAGTCCTTGCAGCCTTCCCATATGGAGTCATCTTTAAATGTATGCTCTACATGCCACCCAATAATTAATTAAAATATTGAAAAGTATTAGGACCATAGTTACCATTGTGATTGCTTTTTAGCATGAGGTCTGCATGTTCCAAATGTAGCAGCATGGAAATATTTCTGAAAAAAAGTTTTATGTAACAATATTGTTAGAACGTTGCTCGGTCCCTGATAACGATCTCTGGTCACGTTGTTCTCATTGCACAATAACCCACCTCTGTGTTCCACTCTCCATTATTTAATGACCACACATAGATGCTACAGGAAGCAATGCCTCTAATTTGAGCTCTGCTCTGTACTTTAGGGTTTTGTTAACGATGCCCACACGTTCTAAAAACTATACTCACAGTTACGGTGTGACAGAAACCACACTGTGAAAACAATTCAGTATAGGCTAAATGGTTGTCTATTCACATTCTGGGCTGGAAAAAAGTACCCCCTTTCTGTACATCTGCAGCATGACATTATGGCTAGTTGACAACATTGTTTATGAAGAGGTCATCTAATAATTACAACAAAACACAAGTAGTCGTTCATAATGGATAAATCACACTTGCATAAAAATTTTCTTCTGAAAGTATTCTATACACAAAAGATTGCAACTGAAATGTGCACACTACTGAGGTGGGCAACAACACTCAGAAGCACTGCAGAGAAATCTCAGAAGGTAATCACAGTAAAAACCATAACCAGTTGCTATCGTGAGGTAAGTAGGAGGTAGTGCCCAAGTTTGAAAGTGATCAGGGCATCAGAACTAATCTCCATCCTACTGTTGTGTAAAATACCATGGTTAGGAGCTTGGCTTTCCATATAATACCCAGTGGCCCATGTAAGAGTATTGTTCAGGTCTGATCAAGAGGGAAGAGGGTAAATTATTTAGTCGGCGGTGCTTCCTTCAGCATCCTTAGAGTTTTTATTGTGTTTTGACCATGCGGCTTTTTGACCACCGCCTTTTGACCACGCAACACTTTTGACCATCAGAAGTGTTTAGCTTGTAGGGGATTTCAAGATCACAGGGTGAAATGGGTTAAATGCTCTGGAAGTCTAGATTTCCTTTATCACTATTCAGTTATTCTAAGTGTAACTTTGGACACTTGACCAGTTCTATCAGGCCAGCCTGAAATTTATTTTTAGAGGGTTGCTGTTTTAAAATTAGATGTTTCTGAGCCTTCATATGGCCACTGCATGAAATATTTAGGTAATTAGTTCTTTAAGTTAATGGCACAGTGTATAGCGGAATCATCCAGTGGGTAAAGTAATTGAAGAGAGAGACAGGACTTAAGTATTTCTTTCTTTCTTTCGAGGAGTCTTTAGTGAATTTTAGGTAATAAAAAGTGCTTCCTAACAACTAAATATTATTCTTGGATTGCTTAATAAATGGTCCAGAAGAAAAAGGTGGAGGAGATCATTTTAAATTCGCTTCTGGGTGGAGGGACCAGTATTGAGGGAGAGAGCACTGTTCAACCATCTGTGTCTCAATGGAAGTAGATTCTGTTTTCCTAAAGCTATGTTAGGCAGACATTATCAAAGATCTTTTGTGATCCATAAATAGAGATGATTTATTTCTTTAGAAAAAAATGGCCATTGGCAAGCAGTAGAAAATCTTAATGTGAAAGAAAAGACCCTTAGCTTTAAAATAAAATGGCAGACAGACACCAAGCTAGAAGATTGATATTTACAGATGTCTCAGAACATATTATGTAGGTCAATAGTCTTTACTCAGAAGAGACTGCTGAAGAGACAGTAACTATTGTTACCTCTGCAGGAAGCCACTTGTCTGCCCTTTTGACACTAATGTAATAAAGTTCCCTTGGTGGCACATAAATAACATTGACAAGACAAGTAGGATACTGAGATGCTACATGTAACTTCCAGTGTATTTCTAAGGCTGGCTAAGATGACTTAAAGAAACTTGCCTCTTTGAGTTCTGTCAGAAGACCCAGAAAAAGATTCTGAGCATGTGAAATGAAAACAAAGTTTTACTAGTACAACAGCTCTTGAAATTAAAGATTGAAGGGAAAAAGAGGACCTAGAAGGAAAAAATAAGAAAAGCAAAGAAAGAAATGGCAGGAACCGGGGAACTGCTATTTTGACAGGGATGTATTGTGTTCTTTTTTGCTTTGCTTTTTCATTTACACTAAACGGTTTTGGATATAGTACACTGTTTATATTATTATCTTGTTCAGGGTGGTTGTGAGTTGTCAGTTTTTTAAAAGTTACTGCTATTAATAGCTTGTACAAGGACCCTGTAATCCAAAATTACAAGCATACTGGGTTTGGGATGGTTCAAACCTTGAACTGGAGTTATCTAAAGAGAATCTAAAGTGTTCAGAAGTAGTACTGGGTATTCAGGGTGGATGTCTTTGCCTTTGAATTAGGACTAGACTCTCATCATGTATTGTGAAATGTTCAATGTTCCAGTTTTTGGAGTATGAAATTAAAATAGAAGTCCTGGAGTTAAAAACTTCAGAGCGTTATTCACAAGAGTTTCTGGCCAAAATCCAAAGTTCTGCCTATATTTTGCCTCACTTTGTGTAAACTGTTAGGTAGTGTCTTGGCACTAGTTCGTGCTGGAAGCAGTTGCATTTTAGCAGTTGGTGAAATTATGCCTTTATATGTATGTATGTTTCTAAACATATTAGAGTAATTTAGACTAAAAATCATAATAGAAAAGCGAGATATTGTTGTCTTTAAAGCACTGTGTGTGCATGCTCTCTGTGAGTCTGGTTAGCATGTATATCGTGGGGTTATAGCCTCCTGAAACCAGATTAACATAGTACTGAATTGAGCCCTGTTATCCCATCCATCCTGAGTCATATTCATAGCTAGTTTTTGTGGCACTGAGCGCTTATGAAGCACTTTGCATTTTCAGAATACTGTACAAACATTAACAAATAGTTATGGCTGAGGTTTGGTGAGTCATGGTTTGTACTGACTGAAAGTCATCTGATATCAATAACAGTAACAATAAACAAGTAAGAAGTATTTTACTTGGAAATGGTAGGGAAATGCTGCACAGTAAGCTATGGAAGGATGATAGTGCATTTTTATCACCTGCTGTACTTAGCATAGTTTAATTTAAGTCCAATACTTTGTAAAACTGTACTTAGCAAGGCTGCAGTGATGCCAAACTGTTTGTATCATTTTCCTCTGGTATTACTTCTCTGTTTTGTAGATTGTGTTTCATACAGTTAAAGTATCCGTGTGCAGTAGTACAATAGCACAGCAGCCAGGATTCTTTTGCCATGGAATTCAACCTTCTAAGTTTTACTTTGGGAAGGTAAATTTCCCTCCCTCGTCCTCATTTACCTCTACTTAGAGAGCAAACTCTTAAGGATGTGGGCAGTCTCCTAATACGTGTCTGTACAGTTTTCAGCACAGTGATCCCTAATCCTGCAGTTCTTAGCGCTACTTTAATATCACTAAAGGCTGCTGCCACTACTACTACTGATACTAGTTCTTGAGAGGAGAGCAAGCTGGGGGGGAGGGGAGCTGCAGCAGTTATATTCAGTATTAGTCTGGCAGTTGTGAGATGAGGTGGCAGCCCTTTTCAGCTTGGCTGATCCAGCTCAAAAGCCTGTGCAACCTCCATGAGATTGAGAGCGTGCAGTAATTTCCTTGAGATGATGGGCACTGGCTAACAGAGCTAAAGAGCTAAAGGAGAACTCTGGAAAATGGTAAGGTGCTTAAAGCAGTTGATGGCCTAGCCTAAGTGAAAGATCCTAGAGCGCATAAAGTATTTCTAAAGTTAGAAATTCTGGATCTTCTAACGAGCTTTAAAACTCCTAATGCTAATGCTCACAAGTGTGCCAAAGGGAAAATATTCTCAATTTGCTTCAGCTGTATTAATTAGAAAATGACTGAAGAAGTGATAATGAGACTTGAAAAAAATGAGTTAGTGAATACTGAAAGGTTATGGTTTTATTTGAATGGAATACTGATATATTTTTGTATGAATTTCTTAGTGCTTAGTTAAGAAGACATCTATGTATGACTGATATTAAGTATAACAAAAGGAATGAATGTCTCATATTGAAGTTTTGGAGAACTATGTCAGTCTGCAGGTGTCACACAGTGTTACTCAGAATCAAAAAGAAAGGCTAACAGAGGCTGTAGCTCCATCTACGTTTTGTAACCAACCCATCCAGCCTGTTTATTTTACACTTCCTCTTGCTAATGAAGATACTGGTTTTGTATGGTTTATGCGCTCCTTGCATGAGCTCAGGACTGCAAGATCAGTGTGTGTTTCTATGCTTGGTTCCACTGACCGCAACTGGTGCCCAAGACGCAAAAAGCAAGAACAACAGAAAAAGCAACAAAACAAGTTTACATCAGATCTCCAAACAGTTTCCTCCCAGTTAATGTGGCATAACTCTGAAGCTTAAACCATTCATTTCTTCCTTTTTTTCTTTTTTTTCCTTTTCACCTACGTGGTTTTTTCTTTTCACGTTTTCCAAACTAGCAAACGTGGAGGCAAGGCACATCAAGGCAGAGATGGGGAGTGAAAGAGCCCTTGTGCTGGACAGGCTAGCAAGCAACGTGGCAAAGCGAAAAAGCTCAATGCCTCAGAAATTTATTGGTAAGAACAAAAGCCTTTTCTTGTGCAACAGTTAAATAGAGTTGGTAACCTACAGTACAATGGCACTGCTTATTTTAAGTATCCTTTTCAAGTTTATAATCCAGTCTAATACAACAGAATATAAATAAAGTAACTTTAATTTTTTGATGTTTGTGCTGATTTGTTGTAGGTATTCAACTAAAAAATAGATGAGATACTTGAGAACTGGATATAAGCTACTACTCTACTCTGTATCTGTTGGTACAGACAATATATACATACGTTTTGTAAGCATTCATGCACTGTTTTCTGTAGTTATGTATTTGAATTGTTCTCTCCTAGTTTCTTAACAGCGCTATGCCTTTCTGTTTTTTTCCTGTAAAGTGCTGTGTGCTATCACTACCCTTTCTAGTCAGCAGGAGCTGAAGGTACTTGTAGGACGCATATGCGGAATGAGGCCTAAAGACAGAAAAGTATTGGAGTTTTGTTAGTCATCTGCTGACTTTGAATATGATGAAAAATATCAAATCCTTCCTTGGGGTAATTTAAGCTACAAGATGCTTCCATAGCGTTTTCCTTGCATTTAATTTTATACAATCAGTGTAGCATGTTGTGGATCTTACACATTTGTTTGGTAAACTTACTGCTTTCTATAACTAATTTGTATAATTTTTTTACTTCACTTCAATCTCAAAGTGTTTAAAATCATATTTAGTAATTTATCAAAAAAAGACCACTGATACGATTAAGATTTCCAGTGTTCCTGTAAAAATTAGAATATTTGGAATATATTTTTGCCAGTAAGCTATTTGAAATGGGTATGCTAATCTGTAGTTTTATGTAACTAAATCTGTTCCGCGTCATAGTGGAAAATAAAGGGACTTTATTTTAATTAAAAGAGCTCATCGGTTTAATTTTTATGTAATCTTGAGCTTATTGGCAAGTTTGTATTTCAGTGGATGATTGGCTAGTTGTATTTCATTATCTTGACCTTTATAAAAAGAAAATGCAACCATAATTTTGGATTTTTTTGTCTTGTAAGTAAAGATTTTACTTAGCAGTTATATAATATTAGTACTAGTAATGTCTTATTTTATTAGTCTGAATGGATATATGTGGTACTGGACACTTGTTTTTCTTGATATAAATTTTGTCTGAAGAATAGCAGCCTCTGTGGTAACTGTTCACACACATGACTGGGGAGGGGAGAAGCGTGGAGTTGAGCGTGCAGGCAGGGATCAGCTGCTCGTTGGACTGACCCAACCTGGCAGAGAGAGGTTCTGAGGATCTTTCTTGAACTTCTGGGGCTAAGGTTTAAACCTAGGTAAAGGTATGCTGCTAAATCCATATATACATAAGAAAGACTTAATTTTTAAAGGTACTGTAGATCTTACTGGCTTTGGTGGGTAGTACTGCACTTTCATCTATGAAAATTGATAACTTTTATTTAGATGTCATAGTATAGATTTAAAAATGTCACTTTTTATACAGGAGTGAAGTAACACCAGCACACTCCAAATTAGTCCCTTTGCGTGCCTAATATTGAAACTGTTGACTGTGTGACTTAGACCTTACATGTCATGCTGTGATTCAAAAAGTAATACTAATGCAAATGGTTTTGAAAATCTTTAGCTTCCTTTTTTTCAGTGCTGAGAGCAGCTTCACATATCTTGTTTTACAATGGCTACCCATTTGCTCTTTATATATTTATTAAACACATCTGCAGCAGGGCAAAACTACTTAGCATATGCTTTAAATTAAGTGTAAGTGCTAGTGTTCTGCTTAATTGTTTTACCAGCATACTCCTTACTGTATGGAATAGATCCCTTTTCCGATCTACGATAGTGCTCAGTAATGTTGTCTGTAGATAGCATGAACTGATAGTGTGTCATGCAAAAGTTTTTGGGGAGCAGTTGGAGGAACTGTGGCCATGTACTTAGTGGCACAAAGTGAATGCCTTACTTAGAAGCACAAAATAACCAATTTCTGAAACTTACAGCTTTTCTACAACCTATATTATTGGCATGTTCTTGTTAGGTAATGCGTGAAAAATGACTCACTCGGTCCCTTTTATCCCTGGGAAGCACGTTTGCAACAGCAGCCTGTCCGACCTTGATTTGACTTTTGTGACTTTCTGAACTGTATGTGTGGGAGTGAAAATCTGCCAGGACAGCTTTGTGATTTCTTGGGAAATTGAGTTCTCAGAACGAGTGCTGATTTTTCATTATGTCAGGAAGCAGGGATAAAGAAATGTATATTGAGAAGCTGTCTTTGGCTTGTTGTGATGAAAGTTTATTGATCCGAAAAAACTAACTTTATTATTTCATGGTTCTGCAGAGATTCCTACATGCACGAGAACTTTTGCCCTCTTTATTTCTCACATACTCATCTTCAGTAGCTACCTTGTGTAAATGTTTTCTTAGCATGCACACGTATAATTCTCAAATAAGGACCCAGGTGAGCAGACTGCATACTTGGCTTTCAACCTCTGTGGTAGGCCCTTCTTCGAGGGCTTCTCTTGCAAAGATTTTATACTCAGCTTTTCTGAGAGTTTGGAGAGAACGAGGGTTTGAATGGAAGTTTACCATTTGTAAACTGGCAATTTGTATTTGCTACTTTGCTGTGGATTTCTATTCTGTGTGCATATGGACGAAATGTACAAAGCCTGAGTCTTTGCGCTTCCCAGCTCAAGTAATGAAGAGATACAAAAATAGTCCAGCAGAATGGATACCCTCTGATATAAACATAGCTTGCCAGGCACTCCTTTGAGTTAAACTAGTTCTTCCAGTGAGTGTGCTGGTCCTGCTGTATAAACACTCTTGGGGATAGGTCTTCAGTGGGTGCAAGTGAAAGTAACTCTTGCAGTCAGTGTGTTTCTGCCACTTTACGCTAGCTGAGCATCTGGCCTATAGACTTCTGTTACTTTCTTTTTAAAAACAAGATGTCTGTGAGAGCAGTATTAAGAATCTATTTCTCATAGCAGTAAAAGTGCTAGTACAGTTCTGACAGATTAGCAAACACCATTGTCTCCCTATGTGAAGAGTCTAACGAGAAATTGTCTGCTTTGGTTAGCACAGCAACAGGAAGTAGGTTCACTCCCTGTTTCCAGTGTCCACACCTCATCAGGTTGCAGAAGTCTGCATATGTTTTAGAGCAAGTGAAGCGTCACCGAGCAGCACATGAGTATGTGTCATACGCTATGGCTCATGTGTGAATTTTGAAGGGGAGAGCTTTTGCGTTGCACTAAGACCAAAAAAAGAGAGAAAAAAGATGTTTTAGATAACCAATGGACTGCGTTGTAAATGAACAGTAGAAGACCCTGTAAATTAAGTTCTAAATGTAGTGTTTTGCAATAACTTTGTGGTGCTTCCTGTGGTACAGATAGCAACTGAACTCCAATCTATTGCATTGTCCTGCCAGCTACAAAGATGAAACATCATCAACTGCTTCAGGCACTGTCCATCTTACTCATTTTGCAGTCCCATATACTCCTCTCTCCTTTTCTAAATCATTGATTGCTGTATTTGTTGAGTGAAGTACTGATCTGATGTTTAATCTTTTTCCATGGAAAAGTTTGCTGTGTTTGACTCGGGGCAAAAATAAATGAAAAAATCGAAAGTGGCCCCCTTCCACCTGATTGTGATACCACACTGTAGCTAGACATTCTGGATATACGCTTAGCACTTTTTGCGACACTTGCATGAAGGTTCATTCTACCTAAATACAGGCATCTTGCTGAGGTATCTAAATTGGAAGTGTATTTACCCTGGGCTCTCTACTGAGACAATGGAGAGAGAAAGATGTCATTCTTTGTGTAATACTTTTTCCTCCCAAAGTATCTTAGAAATTTCACAGTCTGCTTTACAACTTGATTACTTGCCCTCTCTTAAAATGAGTCTGCTTCTGCTGTGCAATGCAGTGGCCTTTTAAAAGTATACAGCAATGTGATACGTTAATGTATGTCAGGAGAGTGAAAATGGGTGTTTGCATTTAATTTGATATAACTGGTAATTTAAGGGAGGCAGAATGAGCTATAGTGGGGATTTTAAAAAGCCACCAAGATAGTGGAAAAATAGTGTGAGATCCTCAGTGATCACAGACTGTGGGTTTTGTATCTTCTCTTAGTGACTTCTGAGTTTTAACCCAAAATTTACAAGGCAGCCTGTGTATTTTTGCTTTTGTTACATTTTTTAAAATTTCAAATTTGATTACATCTTTCACTTGCCTGGAGCTGGTTTTATGAGTCATTCAAATGTGCTATATCGTTTTGTTTCCTTCTGTGTAAAGTTGGATCACAAGTTTTGTTGAGGGTTGGAAGCAGTTACACTCTTGTGGTTCACTAACCTTTTTGAGTGTTTTATAAAAGAAACGTGAGCTCCTGGTTTTCTGCCTCTGCAGTGAAACCTGATGAGTTTCATATACATTGAGTCATGGTGTTGACAGGTGACTGATAAACATCTGCGCTACTCAAGTTACTGTAACTAAAAGATTAGTGGATCTGATGTTTGCAAGTCACTTGCACGTGAAACATTTGGTCTGATCCATTTTTTTTAAGCTATGAACAATTTTAAGTTTTGTGTAACCACAGAATTCAGTTACTTATTTCTAGACATTCACAAAAAAGTGACTTTAGCGCTTTGGGGGTGCTATTTTCTTTCCTCCTGGCACCTGGCACGTAGAAAACTCGTTCCAGTGTGCTGCCCACGCTACCCTTCCTTGCCTTATCCCTTGTTTGAAGAGATGTGAGCAAAATTTCAGGTGGGCAGTTTCTTAGCTTTCCTCCCACTCTGTCTAATCTGCAGTATTCACAGCCCTGGCACACCCAGAGGGGAATATGTTTTGCTCCTCTTTTGTTAGCCCCCTATCAAATTACTCTAAATATGTTGTTCTGCACATATATATAAATATAAATATAAATATATATATATAGTTGCCAATGTT